TATTTTTTTTCTAATTAGTAGCCTTCTATAAATGCTTCAGCTGCTCTGTGTTGGATTTTAAATGTTAAAAGTAGAAATTGATTGTTTGGAACATGCATAACTAAAAAAAGAGCTTTTTTATTGGGGGAAAAAGACCTTCTTACTGCTACTTATGTTCATGCGATTCCCGAGATTATGTCCTCTCATTATTATGCACTCCCTCCGTCTGTCTTATGCTGCCAACTTTCTAAAATACCTCATTATTAATGAATGAGGGTAACACAATGAGTAGCTTCTTGAAATTAGGTTGTCTTTCATAGATAAGCAATAAACATGTTTGTTTACTGTTAAGACACTTCCTTCTTGTGTTGCTAAAACTCATCGTTGAAGTAAACGCACATTTCTCTGGTAAAAAACATGTATTTCCTGAAAATAAGCCGTCCCAAATGCTCATGTGACATGGACTCTGCTTGTGGATGTGCTACTTATGTAGTGTTTTCATGTGCAGTGGGATACTGTTCCTATTATGGGAAGAAGTTTGATCCAGAGCCAGGAAGGTGCCGAAGGACAGATGGAAAGAAGTGGAGGTGCTCCAAGGATGCATATCCTGACTCCAAATACTGTGAGCGGCACATGCACAGAGGCCGCAACCGTTCAAGAAAGCCTGTGGAATCTCAACCTGCTGCTGCCCATACATTGTCAACTGCGATGTCACACATTACTCCTGGGAGCAGTAATAGTACCTGTGGAAGTTTTCAAAGTGCTGACCGGAGCTTCCAAGGCATGCCGTTATATCCCATTGCCAACTCCGAAGCCCTGTCTTTTGGAAGCTCTGCAACTAAGTTGCAGATGAAAGGTGCTCCTTATGGGAGGGAGAACAAGGAAACCTGGTACTTTCATTCCTATCCTTCTGAGTTTCATTTTTATTTACTCCACCTGTCCCTACTCCCTATATTATTTCCCGTTTGACCGGGCACAAAGTTCAAGAAAATGGAAATTTTGTTGCTGCTATTAGTACTTTTATCATCTTCTTTCTAAAAAGTGCTATTTTTGCAATACTGGTTCAGTATTATAAACAAAACACTTTTTAGGATGGAAGGGATATCGTTATTTTTTTTAAATTGAATTTTTTGAATGTCAATATGTCATACGGCCCATATATCTCACTTAAGAAAGGTTAGGAAACATTCATTGGAAACATTTCTACTTGGAAACAAAGCGCTTTGGTCAATTGGAAAGACCACCACAGTTTCACCCCCGTTCATCTGGGATTGATTCCGAGAGGGAAAAGGGGAATTACATTATATAGGCGTTCATGGGCTGGGCTTAAAAATGAGAGTATATGGGGTTTGGACCCGAGGTTTTTCCAGGGTGGGTTTAGGGGCCCAAGGGGTTTTGTTGAGTCGAGTTTGGGGCCCGAGGGGTGTACCTGGTTGTATTTCCCAATAATGAAACTTTCTACATGGAACATGTTTCGGTTTCAGATTTTCATTGGTTGTGAGATGTTGATCCCAGTAATTCAATGTGATTTTGATCCTAACAAGAACCCACAATTGTAATAATTGAACTTGTATTTGGATTTGTAATTTCTTTAGTAACTATAAAGGAGTAAGTAGTATCAGGATTCAGGAATGATGTTCTCTTAGCATTCATGTCAATTAAGTAGGTCACTTAAGGACAAACTGCCAATAAAATGGTTTCCCGTTTTGTCTTAATATTTTCCCCCTTAACCATTTTTGTCATTTGCCAATTGCTAGACCAAAATCGGAAGAATGAGAATAAAAAGTAAGATGATCACTATTGCCAAGCAATAAGGTTTAACACACACACTTTGGACATGCAATAAAAATATTCTGAATTTTCTGTTTGGAGATGATTCCGACTTGAACAAAAACAGTATTTATCTTGCTTTGTTTTGCATTTTCATTAAATAGTAAATACAATCTTAATGGATACCAAAAAAACACTAAAGGAATATCTAATGCTTAGGACAAAAAAAATCAAATCCTTAGACCCGACTCAAATGATATACTCCCTCCGCCTGGTAAAATAGTTCACACTTTCCTTTTTGGATTCCTCCAAAAAAGGTTCGCTCTTTTACTTTTTCCTTTAAGGAAATGAATGTGTGAGGCTCACAACAATTCTCTCTTTTCCAAATATATTCCAATCACCAATTTTTCACTTTCCAACACTTTCCCTAAACATTATGAAGTCAAACATGGTACTTCATTACGAGAGAGGAGTGTTTGAAATCAAATGGGGCTTTCAGTGCATTGGAATCTTTGAGAAACCTAATTACACATTTCTACCTACACTGCACTGTATCTCTTCCATTGAGCTCAAGGTTTCCATTAAGCCTCTATGCCTATTTCATATTTGATTTATTATCATCATTTCAATTATCATACCCAAATTTGGATACCTAGTGGGTTTATCGCACTGTAGATAAGAAGATGATTCAATACTGATGGATTATAAACTAGGGGTATGGGAGAGTAACAAGAGAAAGCTCAAGTTTATGCTGCAATGGAGTCAGGATAATCCAATTCCCCTTCCTTTGGGTGGATGGGATATATATACATTTCTATCATGTGGGTTGGGACCAACCTTGTTTGGGACTGCCCTAGGTCACAACCCAAGGCATGCTACCCTCTACTTTCTATCTGCTTTTAAAACCTTGATTTTGTTTCTCTTGTACTCTTTTATTCAACCTTTCTAACTTTTATGTTGAGCAAGTTTCAAACAGTTGTGTTGCTTATGCATGTATGTGTATATATTGTTTTGCTTATTTGCTACTAGGTAAAGATGGAATATCTCAACCTACACATTTAATAGTACTATTGAGCAACTTTTGCTTGACTTGAAATGCATATTCCTTCATATTAATTGTTGTATATGTCACATAATACATGGTACTATTGAGCAAATTTTGATTTTGTATAAACGTATTCCTTAATAATTGTTGTATAATGCATATTCCTTCATACATAATATCAAGCTATGGATCAACTTGCTATTCCTGAAGATCAAAATATGTGAGATTGTGTGAATCAAGCTGAGAGTGCTATTGGAGAGTGAGAACATCCATTTGGATGTTAAGGAAGACCTGCACGATATCATTACTTTGAGACAAGAAAGGAACAAACTTAGGAGAGAGCTGAATGCTTTAAATAATGAGTTAGCTGCCCTAAGGGCAAATCTCCTAGCTAAAGAAACTGAAAGGGAGCATATTGTAGCATAAAGGAGTGGATCATTCAGCAAATCGCAGCAATTGATCCTCAGAAGGATCCAATCGGAGAAATCCGAGTTCTTACTAAAGTTAATGAAGAAGGCTGCAATGAATGAACTATTTGCCGATCATCAACACAGAGGAGGATGGACTTATTGATGATGTTGGTGACATGGAGTGCACTTCCGTTACAATCTGCCCCCTTTCAGTTTCTCTAGCTAGGAGGTTCGCCCTCAGGACATCAATCTCATTGTTTACAACATTCAAATCTCTCCCCAGGTTGTTCCTTTCTTGTCTCAAAACAACAATATCGTGTAGGTCTTTCTTAACATCCAATTGGATGTTCTCACTCTCTAATAGCACTCTCAGCTTGGTTCGCACAACCCCACCTCTTTCGATTTGTCCAGGTTATAGCAAGTCGATCCATAGCTAGATTTCATGTATGAAGGAATATGCATTGTACAATAATTAATATGAAGGAATATGCATTATAAAATTATGAATATGAAGGAATATGCATCATACAAAATCAAAAGTTGCTAAATAGTAGTACCATGTATTATGTGACATATACAACAACTAATATGAGGGAATATGCATTTCAAGTCAAGCAAAAGGTTCTCAATAGTCCCTATTAAATGTGCAGTTTGAGATATTTTAGCTTTACTTAGTAGCAAATAAGCAAAACGAATATATACGCAGGCATGCATAAGCAACATAGTTGTCTCAAATCTGCTCTACGTAGAAGTCAGAAAGGTTGAATAAAAGAGTAGATGAGAAACAAAATCAGTGTATAAAAGGGGATAGGAACTAGAGGGCAGCATGCTTTGGGCTGTGACCTAGGATAGAAACTGGGTTCTTCACCAGCAAGGTCAAGCTTGGTTCATCGCAGGAGTCGAGCCCAGGTTGTACATGCGGGTTTCTTGATCTTTAGTGTATCTCCTTTTTTAGCCTTTCTCCGTCTAAGAAGCTAAAGCTAGGCTTGAACTCGGGTGATTGAGGGCTGGCTTGAGCCCAACTCCCGGACCAAGTTTCCTTTTTTTATGGACCTCCTCTACAACCCTATAGTTCTTTGAAGCCATGTAACATGAGCCGTGTAGCAAGTGTGATACAACAAGTCAATGGAATCCCATGAAAGCAGGGTTGGGCGTGTAGCAAGCCGGATATATCCATCAAATACAATATTGATTGATAATATGAGGGGCAGGGGAGATGGAATTGTAAAAAAAATAAAGATATATAGCATTTAGGAGTTCAACCATATCATTACTTATTATAGAAAATTGAAGAGTTGATAGGCTTTACTAGTAATAGACCACTGTTAAAATTTCTTGAACTTTGATGGAGTGATTCATTTGCTTTAAGTTTGATGGAGATATGGGCTGTGCACCTCAGGCCCATACGCCATGCGGGTTCGACTCAGACAAGGTAGGACAGAGGCCCAACTCTCAAGGGCGCAAGGAGAGTGGGACACTGATTTAAGCTCGGCAAAGTGCGAGCTCGGTCCTGTTTGGCCGTTTGGGTCAGAGCTTCAGGACTGCTGACCCAACCAGAACGACGTGAGTGGTTATATTATACCGGGGGTCTAAGCTCAGCCGCCCCACATGCATATCACATGTAGTATCCGACAAAATATGTAGCAATTGCAAGCCCATAGGCTGCGATCTGGGCCTTACCACAAAACGTTGGGCCTTGATCCAATATGTAAAAATGTATAAAATGCTGAAACTGGTATTCACACTGTCCCAAATTATTAGGTCTATTTTGGATTATGATTTTCGAGTGAAGTCAAAGTTAATTTTCCCACACAAATTTAGTTCTAGTATTAGTAATTAAAGTTTACATGTTCGAAAAAATACACTCAATGTTCCAATGTGTTGATATTTAACATTCAAAACACAGGTATACCCCCGCCGGAATGAATTCTGATGCAAATGATCACAATTTGCCTGGACAAACATCTGCTGCAAGTGGCGGGAGTCTGGGGATGGGCTCAGTCATTGACAATCACTCATGGAATTCGGTGCCATTCCAAGTGTGTTCTAGTCCCATGTTGAAACTGAAAAATGATTCTCTGTTTCTAGAAAGTTCATCACCCCGCGTGCATCTGTCGGGTGCATTCGAGCCTTTGATTGGTGCGTCTGGGGGGACAATAAAGCAGCAGCAGGAGCAACAGTCCGTTCGCTCTTTCTTCAGCAAATGGCCAGCAGCCAAGGAATCATGGTCCAATCTTGACAGCGACGGATCAAATACAACCCAGCTCTCGATATCCATTCCAATGACCACTTCTGGATTTTCTTCTTCTTCTTCAAGAAATGCCTGTTTGCGAGATGGTGAGTTTTAAGGTGTTCCCATAAACGCACACACACACACACACACCCTGTTTGTCATGTTAGAATTTTACATTGGGCATGTTTAGATCATGAAAAATGCCAGGGAAAGGTAACAAATTTTGAAGAAAATAACTAATATGTTTGTTCTTACCCGGGAAAATGCAAAAATGAGAATGAAATATGATTTATTCCTATAAATTCTACACAGCTGTATATTTAGTTCTCTTACACTATGTTTGGTTCAAGGAATTTGAGTGAGAAAAGAAAAGAAAATGAGGGGAGAACAATTTTTCATGTTTGGTTATAGAGGAAAAGAAAAGAAAAGTGGAAGGAAAAGAAAATGGGAAGGCAAAATGTATAAAGAGGGGAAAACAAAATCCCTCCCATTTTGGCGAGGAAATTAAAGGAAAATTATTTTCTTTTCTTTTCCTTCCAATTTCTTTATACCAAACATAGTGTTAGGCTTCATATACAACAACAACAACAACAACAAAGCCTTATCCCACTAGGTGAGGCATTCTTACTTGCATATTATTTTCTTCCAATTGTCCTCTTATGGGTTTTTGCCTATTTTCTTTGCCTAGTAAGAGTCTAGACCCATAAGGGCAAATGGCAAGATATCTGATCTACAAACTCATTTCAATATGTATGTATGGCATGCAGATGCTTGAGATGATGAGAGAGACAACAGTTCCAAGCAGTCCTCAAGTTGTGCATATATGAAGGCATCAACAAAGGTTTTCTCTGCTTGCATATGATCTTTTACTTATGTATGGTTGGCTCACCACAACACTCAAACAGAAAAACTTTTAGGATTTCAAATAATATGCAGCAACTCCATCTTTGATACCCTCACCTCATAAATAAATGAATGAGCCCCCAAATGGCTGCACACTTTAGTAGGACTCTCATTCTGTTCTAATATATGACTCCATTTGAGAGGCAGTTGTACTTACTCTCACCTTGTTATGCCACATTTTAATAAATTTGCCTACACATTTGAAAGATGATGGGTAAAGTTCAAACAACAATGCTACTTTGTCCTGTTCAAATCTACTCTATTTATAAGAGATGAACAACTTTGTCCTTTTACTTCTTTCCTTTCTCTTTTAAACACATGGATAAACTTGTCCTTTTGATATTAATGAGGTAGATATAGTCAAATGAGGGATGAATCTAGTAACAATCTTTATCATAGTTTCTTTATTGAATATGGAGGGTGGATAACTGATAACAAATGAAAACAAGAAAATAACAATTAAACCCAGTTGTGAGAGAATATACAAGAATTTTGATTTTACTCCTGAGGCAGTACTTCTACCCTTCCACTAATGCAATCAAATAAGGTAGAAAATGTGATTGACCTTATAATAAGCTAAATAATGACCACATGTTTAAAAAAACTTTTGTTGATAAAATCTAGCATTGTAGCCCATGGAACCCAACATAATAAGCCAAAAGAAGAATCAAAATGTAAAATGACAAGGGCAAAGATGGGATTACTTCCAAGGTTGCAGGGAAGAAAATGGAATTTCTCTAAATTACATCAGTTTTGAGAAATCCTCTTCTGCTAATCTTTATAGGCAATGTGTTTCCTCATACAGTAGTAATTGAAACTACTCATATATAGTTCTGAAATCAGTGACGAATTATACGCGGAGTACTTACTTTGTACAATATGTAATACGGAGTAGTATGTTTAGAAGCATTATGAAGTTATGGTTTACTTTTTACCGAATGAGATGTTCTACTCTGTAGTAAATTTTGGTAAGTTCTCCCTACCCTTGTCGATTTCACCTTCTTCCTTCCTTTCCATCCAAAAGCCTTTTTGTAAGCAACAATCCTATGCTTTTCAAGCCTGAGAAATCTATTGTATTCTTCATACAATCTTTCACCATTATACTACCAAAAGCCCTTCCTATTTTCTGTTGCAACTCGGAAATACTCTGTAGTCTGCTTGATTCAGAAACTCCTGATAATAACAACAAAAACGATAATAATCCATTGGATCGAAGCAACTCTTTTGACTTTTCATTGTATCTATTAATCGGATCCTTAATTTAAAATCTCGTTTCCTAACAGATTGCCACAGTTTAACTTTTTTCGTCAAATTGTGCCACTCTTTGACCACGAATTATGGAAAAAATATATTTAATTATAATGTAAATTTAGTAAAATTAGGTTTGTTTTAAAATATAGTTTTGAAATGTCAAATTTTTATAATATTTAATTATTTTAAACTAAGTTTAGTTCATGGTCAAAAAATGACAGAATTTGACCAAAAAATTCACTATGGTAATCTTTTAGAGAAGGAGGGAGTATAGCCCCATCCCAAAATGAATTGCGTACCTTCCATTTTGACCATTTTGAATGTCAAGTGTACATTTTCCTTTCATCAAGCACTTTTCAATTTGCAACACTTTTTGTAAATTCTATGAAGTATAAAACACTAAACTCCATTTGTGATAAAATCAAGTTCACATTTTTCTTTTCTTTTAATTCCAAATAAGGTTCACATGTTTCAACATTTCTCTTAAATCTTGTGAAATGAAGTGACCAAAAAAAATGCAACGATTTGATTTTAGAGCATCCAAAAAAATGTAACCAAGAGCAGGAGGAGAAGATGAAGTAAATAAATAAGAATGAGATGTGAATAAATATAACCATTGGTGAAGAAGGAATTGGCGGGAAGGCCGATCCCGAAACCGGCCAGAGTGATGCCGATACTGAACCCAGCGCCGCATCCGGATCCAACATAGCCAACCACCTCCGGGCCGAATCCGGGTCCCCATCCGACTCCGCACCCGATCCCGATTCCAACGCCCCAGAAGGATCCGTATATGGGGCGAACCGGGTCCCACCTTTTGCCTCTCCGGAACACCCCCTTTATGATCATCTCCCACGCGATGCTGAACTTCGGTTTCAGTGGGGGGAATGGAAGAGGAGAAATGGCGAATGGGGGAAGGAGATCGGAGCCACTGGAGCTGATGTAATGACGTTGTGGATAAGGTGATTACTATGATGCCCTAGAGGGACCCCATTTTGAAATATGAGATGAATACTTCCTCCGTCCCTAATTAGATTACAATTTTTTTTCTCCTTCTCGATAACTTTTGTTTGTTTACGCGATTTCATTAAGTATTTGATAAAATAAAATATTCTTGTCACCTCTTGTTTTGTAGAACTTTTGACGTAGTTTTTTAATATGTAATTTTTATATCTTATTAATAATACCAATTTATAAATAAAATAATTTCAAAAAGTAGAAAACTTTATTTCGTAACCCGCAATTTGTAATCAAATTGGGGACGGAAGGAGTATTATATTTGATCACATTTCAGAATGAATATTACGGTTACAAAGGAACATTCTCTTGATTTAAAATGAATACTCGTCAGATGTACCTAATTTTACATACAATCGGGAGCTTTTATTTAGGCCTCCCATTTTTAAAAGCTGATCTAGTGGAAATGTACCAATTCTCTAAGGCTCCGTTTGGTACACGAAATTCAAACTATGGAATTGGAATTGAGGCCTTCAATTCCAATTCTGGTGTTTGGTAGCACAAAAATTATGTGGATTTGGAATTGATAGTGCAAAAAATGAATTGGAATTGACAAAATTAAATTCTTTGGAATTCAATCTCATGGAATTTCAAAACCAATTCAATTCCTATTCCATCAATTCAGTATACCAAACGGACCCTAAGTATATTTGGCAAAAATACCATTCGAAATAGGAGTAAAATATATTCTTTATCTAAATATAGAATGGCATGCATCTTGTTATCTCTAAAACAAAATTGTTATTATTGGCAATGTATTTTAACATTGCACAATATTTTTTGGTATTATATATTGACATTATATGTTCTATTTTGGAGATAAAAATATGAAAATAATTTTTGGTTCTATCCTTATGTTTTTACTTTTATTTTAGTCTTTCTCTCATACACATTTAGGAGTAAAAAAATATTCATTTCGCATACGTTTTATTTTAGTTGTACACCCCCAAATGTTCATTTGTAAGATATACAATTCTTATTTGAAAACTACATACTTGGTCCGTCCCTGAGTGTTTGTCCACTTTTGACTTTTGGAACTATTCATCTAAGCACTTTGACTCATCAAATTCTCTCAATGTGTAAGCCTAAAAATAGTCATGTGTGATCTTGTTTGATTCGCCTTAACATATAGATTATTAATATATAATTTTTATAATTTTTTAATATACAAATTACAAGATAAAATGGATTAAAGAAGTGCATTGGATGGTGTGCAAAAATGAAAGTGGACAAACACTCAAGGACGGAGGGAGTAATATTCATTATTACATTAAAGAATATACATACCCGAGTAATATAATACTCATTTTATATATACTTGTATACGAAATACTCGTAATCTAAATTCATCACTTTCATCCTTAAGTTTCGGAAACCTTAATAGAAGACGACCATTGCCGTGTCACCGCCTATGTTAGCCAGGGTTCTACCTTTGTTGGCATCGCTGCCTTGGGTAAGGTTGCCGCCCCTCCCTTCTCTTCATCGTAGCACTAACGTTTCCGCAAGACTCTTCATCACAATCAATTCACACAACTTCTTTAGAATAAGATGTACTCAAAGACAAATAGTAACTTCTCCCTTCGTCCCAAAATATTTGTAACGTTTACTTTTTCAGCAGTCGCGAGAACTTTTGTTTATTTCTACGTTTTCATTGGTTATTTGATAAAATAAAATATTCTTGACACCTCTTATTTCGAAGAACTTTTCATGTAGTTTTTTGATATGTATATTTTATTTTTTATTTCTATACCAATATGTAAATAAAATAAATTGAAAAAATTTAATATTTTGCCTCGGGAATGCAAGTGTGGCAAATATTTAGGGACGGAGGGAGTAATAACTTACAAGTCTATTAATTGCCCGGGATTGATGTGTCTATGCATCTTTGGAGATTGAGGTTTTAATGGTTGAGTTGAACAAGAAAGAAACATCCTCAAGCTCAAAAGTAAGAATGTCAATTGGATGGGTCTCCACTCTTCGATCATGTAGTGAAGGTTGATTCACATTTATATATTCACTTTACATTTACATCTGATTTATACTTTCGCGTTCTAAAATTATTGTTATATTTCATATTGGAAAAAAGATCAGAACTTTGAAATAAGACAAATTCTATGGTAGACTTAAGGTCCACCAAATACAAACATGTAAGCAAAATAAGTATCTCTTTACTACTTAAATAAATGAACATTTATTTTTTCAAATAAAAAAATTTAAAAAAGATTTTTTAATGTGATAAGGTTCACAAAATTGATATGCACACAAGGTACACCAAAGAAGCACTCTTGAAATAAAAATAGAAAATATACTAAATAGAAGCCCAAACTAGTCCAACTTGTAAATAATTATGTAGGTGAGTCAATCTCTGTAATTATAAGCTGATTTATAAGTATGTCTTACCTATTTAATTTAAATTTAATTTTTTCATTTCTCCATTTAGTGTACCCCTAACATTTCTCTTCCTATGAATATATCTTATCTGAATTGGAAGGGGACAATCAATTGAGTTCATCGAGCATTCCTATGACTTCCATCTTTTTCATTCCTACATCAAATCCATTTCAATCATTATATTATTTCGATAGATTAAACAAAATAATGGCCTTGTTTGAGAACATTGTTTTCGATTAGCGTTAAAAATTTAGATAAAATTTTAATGATGAAAATTAATTCTGAAAATGCTAACGCTAAAGGCTACCTTCGGATAGCCTTTTCAAAAGGCTAACGCTAATATCTAATGCTGATGCTAAACGAGGCCAATATTGGCCCATTTCCATCATTAAAATTGATCCATAGTAAACGGGCAGCCCAATTTAGCCCACGTAGAGTTTGTTTAATTAAAAAATGCTGTAAAATATTCGGATTTTTTTTTGAAAGCATAAAATATTCGGATCAATTTCTGAAAAACCCGCCATCATAAATACGCGAATTTCTCGGGTACGGTTTCAAAATATTGCAGAGCTCTCTGAACGTCTGAAGCAACACGATCTAAGATCACCACCGGGAGGAAGATGAGGAAGAGATCCACAGCTACGAGGAAGTCGGTGGCGGAGGAGAATCTGAAGACGCCGCCGACTGCGGCAGCGAAGAGCCCTAACCGTTCCGTCAGCCAGTCTCCAATGCCATTCGAGTTCAAGTTCAGTGCGTTCAATGTTGCTTCTCTGACGCCGCCGTCGTCCTCGAAGAATCGCCGTCCAGGAAAGAGCTACACACCTATGCGGCCTCCAAAGTCACCGGTGCCGATGAAAAATTGCAAGACGATAGACGATCTGAAGGACTTCGCTTCCTCTGGACTACAATCCATCAAGCACCAGCTCGATTGCTCGCACTCGGAGATCCTGAAGGAAATTGAATCCTCTCACTCTCGCGTTCTCAAGCGGATAAAGGTGTGCGTCTATGCGAATTACATGATTTTGATTTGAAATACTCAAATGCTCCGTGATTTTGATTTATGAATTGAAAATTGTGTTGGTCTGATTTGTGCGTTTCTGATGTAAATATGATATACTCCGTACTTAGTTTTATCAGCTATAGGCTTTTCTGTGATCCATTTTCGGATCTCCATTTTGACAAATCTGTGCTGAAACACCTTCATAGATTGATAATTCCAAACTGATTAATGATTATCCTTAGGCGTGCTGGAAAAATTAGAGCACTACAGCTTAGGCTTTTAACCATTTCGGAGACATTTTGATTCAAGCACATCTTGGGAAATTAAGCATTAGTCATTGCAGAGAGTCATCTGCTAATAAGTTGAAATCCATTGCTATCCTGTGGCTACATACTTGTATTGTTGTATGCATGTGTTTGGATGATTCCATTGCATGACTTCTGTTCTTGTACTACACACACTATCACCATAGTTCAATCAGTGCATTGTCATAACAGATAAAGCTTCAACACAGTAAGTGATGCCTAATAATAGTGCAAATGTGTAATTTCATGCTGGAAATGCATGATTTCAAGGCCGACGTACTGTGAGCAATGGACGCTTTACGGAGTATTAGTTAGAATTACAAGGCCACTGCACGCTGCTGGCATTTTCTGTTTGGTCGTGTCTGTTCATTTTACACTTTGCTAAATCTTGTTAACACGGAGAAATGGGCAAGGGGAGCATTGTATTTGAGTCGGAAATGGCATAATCTGATATCTTACATTCATTATCGAGAATTTAAACAGATTCAAACACAAGATTGGCAGCAAAAAGCAGATGAAGCAGAGAGGGAACATAAGAAAATGTCTGAGAGAATCAACGAAGGTCGACAGGCAATGAAGGTCAGTCTTCCACTCTTCAGTTTTTGCTCTTTATAATAACACTTAATTGATAGAACAATATCCTGGTTTCTTCTAATGTTTGTGCTGCATTTCCATTGATTTGATTTTTGATTTGTATTCAGGACTCATACAGTGAATTCCTAGCTGAAGTGCAGACCAACTCATCTCGCTGTACGTTCCTACAAGTTTTATCCCTCAATCTTTAGACCTATAATGTTTCATTTGTAACACCAATGCATTGGATCTTAGATCAGATAATTAAATACCTCAAGTTAATATCATGTTTCTTACTCGTAGTTAGTAACTGTGATTCAGATGATGCATTTTTTGCTTTAGAATGCATGCACACTTATACACAATCCTCATACCTCACTGAATTGAGTATTGGTTTTCCTGATTAGTGACATAACTGGTGCAGAATTTATGACACACAACTTGTTTCCATTAACTTGTTGGATGGTTATTCGATTTTGCTTTTTTGTTGAAATTTCAGTCTGCAAAACATCCATCCCCGAGCTTTTACAGTGTGCTGAGAAAGCCATTGACACACTCAGAAGTCGCTACGGTATCCCCCAATCAACTTTTGCTTGCTAAGCTGACTGGAGTTGGAAAATAGTGTTTTTATTATTGCTTTATATTGTAATTGCTAA